AGCGACTGGGGGGTTGAGGGCTTCAATTTCAAGCTTGCATACTTAAGGCTTAGTTCTTTTGGGGTCTGCGGGTTAGAGTTGGGGGCCATGGGTAAGCAATGGTAGCAAGCAGAACAGCAGCAATACTACAGGAACTGCTTTGCTGCAGTCATACGCTGAAGACGATTTGGTCGGTTTGCCTGGGCACTCAATCGAACATAATTCGACTGGTGACAAGAACGAGAACTGCTACTATGTTTGTAGTACTGGTAGTCTATCTATCTGCAGCAGCGCCTAAACTATCCATCAGGTCGCGGAACTGTCGCAGGATGTCAGTCGGGAGTCACGACGCTCATGAAGCTTGCAAGCGGTAGCGTGCTTTTATCATATCACCATATCACCCTTCTGAGGCCGAAGTACCGATTGGCACATGAACCCTTAGTGTCCAGCTCGACTCCGTAAGCCCATCACATGTGCGCGATACCGACACTTCACCAAACTTCAATGCCCAGGCCTTGCTTGTTGGTTTGGGGTTGGGTACGGTTGGGGTTTAGGGATTCATTCCTGAACCTTATTCCATAAAACGGGTCTTTTTCATCTACCGAGACCTTCGCATAACGTCCGAATGTTGTCCCGGGCAGGTTAGTAATGACAGCACCGACAACTACAAAACGGATGTTCACAGTCGTATGGCCAGTTAGATGTTCGTGCCAGTGCTCGAAAGTTTCGAGGCGGGCACACGCGCAAGCGGATTCTTCCTCTGCCTTCATGGCATCTTCTACCACCAGGTTGGGTGGTACGGTTGATGATATAAATCCTGCATGACCCATAACAAGGAATATATGGGAGTTATGGCATATTCCTTATGGGTCATGCAGGATTTATATCATCAACCGTATTGATGTTGTTTGAGCAATCGTTGCTTCAGTTCGGTTCTTTGCGAACTTACCCGAAAAGTTGATTAACCCCATTCACGAATCAACCACCCTGGGAAGTTGCATCCTTTCTTCTGCCCTTTGTCGAGTTGCTGCCAGGCGCTCCTTCCCCTGGAGCTGCTCTTCGGCGTGTAGCACCCGGAGTGTTGGCATCAGGGCCCCCCGAACCCTGGCCCCCTAACCCCGAGACCCTAACCTCAGAGCAAAGCCTCGTAGGGTTTGGGGCTTAGGGCATCTCGGCTCCTACTGGAAAATCAGCCGGTCTGCACAGTGTCGATACCAGGAAGGGCCTTAGGCTATGGTTCATCAGCAGTCCTAGGCTGCTGGAAGCCTCATGTGTGATCTGGCCATTGAAGTTGTTGGTTTAACGCATTAGGGTTTTCCATTTGTGTCTTGGTCATCCCTGAATGGAATCGCAGCACCTCAGGTGCCCCGCTGCTACCAGGGCTGCGACGCCACTGCATTTTGTGGAGTCGGCGACCCAGATTCTTGGGGGCGGCGGCGGGTGACCTAATAGGTGCTGACCCAGATCAAAGCTTCATGTGCCAATACACCACAGTGCTTCGCAGAGGGGCGTGCGACAAGTGCCAGCAACACAAACATCGGCTTTGTTTCACATTGCCACCCCCGCCAGATTTGCAAAAAACATGCCCGAAGGCTGATGGCCAGCTCCTGCATGGGGAACGCTGCAATGTTGTTCCTCGGCAGCCTGGGAGGCTTAACTTCCAAAGGAATGTTTTTGCTTTGAGCACTTACTTCATCGTATTTTAGGCTGGCTGGGCCAGCCGTTTATCGAATTCTCACGTTATCAGCTGACAAAAGCTTCATCGCGCAGAGCGAGAAATCCGGTTGCCAGATGTTCCAGAGTCGCTGTGTTGCTATCGGATTTAGCGTCTATACTATAGCACTCATTCAGGGTTAGGGCACCTTTTGGACGGTTGTACATTCAAGTCGCCTGCGTTGTGGTCTTCTTGCACCCTGTTCCGCTAACGGTTGAGTTTGCAAGATCTTAACATGTTGGCATCTCTATGTATCCAACAGACGGCGAACAATTTAACGAAATACAGATCAGGGAGCCACTTGAATCCTATGCATGCTTGGAAGCGCTCACCAACAATGTCTGAAACTCCCTAACCGAACCCTGAACCTTCGACTCCCTAAGCCCAAAATCCTAAACTTCTGGTCGTTGCGGCCTCTCGAGACCTTTCGGGGCACTGGAGAAAAGAAGTTCAAAAAAAAGAAAACTTCTCCCCAAGCCCAAACTCTAGAGCCCAAGACTCGGGCGGTCTTGCGCCTGAACAAAGGTTTGCCCAGAAGGATCTACGCCCGACATGGCGGAGGCATGGTCTGCATGTCGGTGGCTTTCAAGGTTTTGGGGTCCCTTTTTATAAGGGATCTACAAGGGAATCTATAGGGTTTCTTTGAATAGGTACTACAAAGGTTCTATAGGGTTTAGGTTCCCTTCTAGGGTCTTTGCTTTCAGGGTGCCGTACTATTTCGCGGACGTAAAAAGGAATCCTAAATAAGAGAACTTGAACTACCCATATGCTCTCCATTCTTGAGCTCCTTTAAGACAGAGTTTAGGGTTTAGGGTCTCTGCTGCTTGCCTTAGATGGGCTCTCGTGGGGAATGCATCTTACATTTCGGGAATAGGGGCCTGAGGCTGGCTTTATCAAGTTGTTTTCTTCCTAGGCTGTTATAATCTCAAAGGGTTTTAAATTTAAGAACACAGATCTTGCGCTCTATCGGGCTACGGGTGATCTCTGGCGTCCGAAGAAACGCGAAACACGGCTTCGAGCAGCACGATGCCGAGCCACGCACCCGCGAGATGTTCCATGGGCGGCCTGGCAGGAACGGCATATGGGGGTTTCCGAAAATATTGGACCCTAATATAGTAGCCTAAATAATAGGATCCTTATTATAAGGACCCCAAAATGAGGTACCCCCAATTATCGGAAACTCCCATTTTTCACTCTTCACTATCCCACAGCAACCCCACTGCGCAGCCAGATCTGCACCACGGACCCTGCAGTTTGCTCAGACGGCGACTTCCTCGAAGGGGCCGGTGGTGCAAGCATCGCACTGACAGGAGCTGTAGCTGCGGCAGCTGTCCAAGCGCGTCGAGCTACGCCTTGCAAACGAAGAGCCAATGTTGCTATGCATGCAGATGGGGTGATGATACATCCATGAAGGTTGCATATGTTTTTACCACGAATATAAGAGCTCCACCTTCAAACTTGCCCAGATGATCTTGCCTCAAATCGAGAATGCCAATCACGGCGCGTAGGTGAGCAGGGAAGAGAAGAGGGGAGAGAGAGGCCTTTCATTGACGAGGCATCGGAGGCTGTGAAGATAGAGAGGCCCATGGCAAGATGCGCAAGACAAGAGGGGTGGCAAATTGATTGGCAGTTACAGGCCTCCCTACGAATGCGTAAGTCGCAAAAACAGATCACTAAGCCTGAGGAACGTCTGTACCTATAATGTATGCATGGAGGTATGCGTTGATACATACACGCATTCATACCTACACATGTACATACATACATACCTATAAATGCATACATACCTACGTACATACATTCATAATTACTATATACCTCCTGGACCCCAAACCCAGAGCTCTACACCGGAGAGGTGAGCTGTCGCGACGGAGAGGTGCAACCAGTGGAGGGCCGGGACACCCGAAGGCTCCTTAGGAACCAGGACCCTCCTTGTACCCTCATTTGAGGGGTATATGGTCCCAAATAAGGGGCATTTAGGGTCTAATAGAGGGTAGATGGAGGGTCTAGGAAGTGTTTTGTGTTTTTTCATATCCGGAAGGCACTCTGACAGAGAGTTTTGTGGTGCCTGTCCCCGATCGACCCTTCTGTGCAGTTAAGGGTGATAATGAACGCTTGGGTTTACGATCTAGGGTTTGGGTTTTGAGTTCCGAGTCGTTTCCGGGCAGGTGTGGGCACATAGAGGCCCGAATTATAAGTAGTGTCCCTTTAAAGCCCTTGTACGCTATGGCAAACTTTGAAAGCCTTTTTCCAATCGTGAAGGCAATGTGTTGGCCTCCAAATTGTTTTGCGAGTTGGGTTTGGGGTTTTGGGTTTCCGATTCAGGGCTTCAGGGCGAGGCATGTTACAATCCTAAACCCCATGCAAATCTAAGCGAGGTCCTGACACTAATATAGGGGCCTCATTAATTTCCTATACTATTTTGGGGGTTCCTTACTATATTTATAGTATAATGGCCCCAAAACCCAATTCTAATTATTAGGGCCTCTACATTACCTGCCTTGACAGGCTCCCCGGAGCCTTGAAGACTCGGAGCTCTGGGAGAAAAACCGAGGTCCTGACTGCGTCCCAATGTGCATCTCGGGCCCCGACGTGGCCTTTGCCACGAACGTCGCGGACTGCGCACGAAGCCCGGAGAGCCCTGAGAAGGGAGGGGTTCGCGGATCTACATACCAGGACCCTCCTAGCACCCTCAAATTGGGGGTAAAGGGTCCCTAATGGGTATCCAACAGAGGGTAGAAGGAGGGTCTAGGTAGGTGCAACAGATTTAGGGTCGAGGTTTTGGGGCCGGTGTGGGGTTGGATTTATTGCAATTGCAACAGGCTTTTGAGATGCGTTTTAACGGGAATGCAGGGCCTGGGGCCCGGAGTTTCTACGGTAAGGTCCCGAGAGACCCAGAGTTTCCAAAAAAAATGTCCCAACACCCAGATGCCACAGGTTTGGCAGGACTGCAATCACTATTGCCACTACGGTTGTAAGCCTTCTGATAAAGCAAAACTCAAACCGGAACTGCACACAGAAGGCCTCCACGTGTGAACCTTCTGGGTCGTGGAGAACAGAGACATCTCGGCTTCAACAGTCACTTTGGACACCCTTCTGCATAACATCTGGTTGACTACGGGCACGACCGAAAATCTGAGCAGCGCAAGCTGGAAAGCCAAGAGCCTTACATCCCAAGAACCCGAAGCCATCCTAAGGAGTTTCGGCTGTGGCGCAAGTTGGGCCATTCGAGTGGGACCTTGTAGCAAGTTGAGGCTCGAGTTGCCCGTTGCTCGATAATTCCTTTCATTTCCTCGGCTCTCTCGACATGGTTCGAGCGACGCCCATCATCATGCTTCTTCTGCTACTTCCTGTTTCAGGAATGCGGAATGAAGCGAGCCGCGCGGTCGGAGAGAAGCGTGGGAACGTCGGCGAGGTGGCTGAGCACCGTGAGCATGTCAAGGAGGGACTCTCGGACACGGGGCACTGCCACGGCGAGATGGACGCACCAGAATCTCAGAAGACCCCATGCTCTAAAGATGCCGATTGCCGTCTTTGCGGTGCTGACTGGACTTGCTACCACATGAAGAAAGATACCTACGAAATGAAGAAGCTCATGTATCCAGACACCGAGTGGTTGAAATCCTACTGTCACCACATCTGAGGCTTTTGTCTCACCTCCTCAGAGTCAGAAGACAGGGCCTCGCAGTCGCTTCACCCGACTTCGCTTTTGCTCGTCGCTTAAAAGATGACAGCTTACTGCACCAGGGCCTTGCATTCAAGCCTTGAAGGACATCAGAATTCTGATCCCCAGACTGCTTTGGAGTTTGGGGCAAACATAGGGTTTCGGAGCACTAGACTTGGCATTACCAGGTTTAGGGCCCCAATCACGACGGACGGCAGCCACAGCAGTTATTCGCAGGCACTGTATATTCACGTTCGCAATTGTAGTATGTATGCTCCAAAGGTAAAGGTGTTTCCTGCGATGCCAGATGCACGAGCCCCTGCTAAGCAAACACAAACTCAAACATACACCCACGCACCCACCCACGCACCCACCCACGCACCCACCCAGGCACCCACCCACGCATGCACGCACACACGTACGCACGCACACTGACAGAAACAGACAGGCAGAAAGGGCAGGCAGGGCAGGCAGGCAGACAGACAGAGGCACATGCAGAGAAACGCTCACACGTGAAGAGACACACCCAGACATACCCTGCAGACACCCAGAGACACAAAAACACACACACACACACACCCACACGCACACGCACACGCACACGCACACGCACACGCACACGCACACGCACACGCACACGCACATGCACACACACACACACACGCAGATAGACAGCCAGACAGATAGGCACGCAGATAGAGGTAGATAGGGGGAGAGAGAGAGAGAGAGAGAGAGAGAGCTAGAGCTAGAGCTACCGAGACAGAGAGCTAGAGAGAAAGAGAGGGAGAGAGAGAGAGAGAGATAGATAGATCGATCGAAAATTCACAGACAGATAGATGGTTACAGCATGATAGAGCGCAATGAAGACAGAGAGAGAGAGAGAGATTTATACACATGTAGGTGTGTATATATATATATATATATATGCATACATGTGTGTATAACCTTCAGATGGACAGCTCATCACGGACGCATGACCTTTTCACATTTCGTTCATTTCCTGCAGGTGTCGTGTACATCACCCACACTTGCACCAGCCTAGTGCGCCCGATTCACTCAACCTGTAGTGCCCAAGCTGAACGGCACACCCCCAACCTTGAACCCCAAACCCGGCAACAGGAACCCTTCAAACCTATACACATGAAGTCTCAAGCCCAAAAGGTGCGTAATACGACCCTAAACCCAAGCTCGATGCATCGCTCCGGGATCGTTGCCCAGGTAAATGTGGTGTCCGGAACAGTGTGCTCGCTTCGGTGCGAGGCAATTTCTCCAAGTTTATGGTCCGAAGACTTCAGGGCAAAGGGACGGTAAATCCAGGGGCCCCTAAAACCCTAAACCCTAAATTGGGCCCTATAAACCCTATACTATAAACCCTATATACTATAGACCCTAAACCCGAGTTTCGGGTTCCTTGATCGAACCCGTTCCCCATGAAGCTGTGGCTCCGGGGATCGGGTTCCGAGGGTTCAGAGAGTCGTTGTCGGCTCAGGGTGTAGTAGGGTTCAGCGTTTAGGAGTTTAGGGTTTTGGCTCAGTGACGGCCCCATTCGCCCCGACAGTCGACCAGACTTCGTTCTTCTCATGTCTTCAGGCCGGATATGCCAAGACAGGCAATCCCGTTGGTCGCTGAGCATGTACTGCGGGGAGTAGGAATAAGACTAGGACTAGGATTATAGTAATACTTCCTTCTAGGATCTCTCTGAAAGGGCTCACCCAAGGTTTTAGGGTTCAGCATACGGGCTTCAGTAAGGTATAGGGGTGATTACATGTGATTACCGTCCTCTGGGGACCGCGACATCCGGCGCTCTACTTTGGAGAGGCCGTCGTACGTTCTGGCACCACATGCAGTAAGTGCGCAGGAAGGATTATAGACAATGCGCAGCCGTGCAGAAGCCACGTCACCTCGAAGCGGATCTAGAAGCCCCTAGAACGGAACGCCAAACCTTAAACCCCGAACCCAAACCTTACCACGCAAAGCCTTTTGAGGTCTGCGAGCGTGGCGTTTGGACGGAAGCACGCTGCCTGGCTCCGTGCTTGCAACCCGAGGCATCGGGGTTTGTTTTTTTGATGTGAGTGTTTTGGTGTGTTTTTTGGGATTTGGAGGTTCTACTGGTGGGGTTTTGGGTGTTTTGAGGGTTTGATGGTTTTCTGATGCTTTTGTAAGGTTTCACACTTCCTGGGCTATTTTTTATGGAGTTTGGGGCCTTTCGGCTAGGGAGAGGATTCCGGTCGTAGGGCTTCCGGCTTAACGATTTTCGAGACAAGGGCTTCCACTGTTGGATTGATCGAGCTTTGTGGGGTTTCGAATAAATATTTGGTTTAGGGGATTCGGGATTCACGGTCTAGGGTTTTCTGGTGTTCTATGTCGACGGATGTTGGTTTGGGGCTGAGGGCTTTCGGGCCGGAAGTTTCCGAGGTTTACGGGGACTACGGCTACGATGCGTGGGTTCCGGGTGTCCTTTACTTTCGGGGCGCAGGCTTGGGCGTGGTTTCAGACTGTGCGGTTGCACTGTGGAATCGGCGTCTGGGTTGCTACTTGTAGTTGTTTTCTGCAGGGCTTAGTATATACTACTATAATACAATAGTACCATAGTACCATAATAGTTACCACTTGGGCGTAGGATGATGGAGCAATCCTGCCGAAAGGCTGGCTGGTCTCAGCCCGAAGCCGGAAACTCCAATCTAGGTAGTATTATTAGGGAGACCCCTTAAAGGGTACCCCTTCTGAACCCTACTTCTGGCACTCTTGAAAGGGGCCTTATCGGCCTTATTGAGAGGGTCTATATCCCCGAGGAAACTCCCACAATCCTCACAGCAGCAAAGTCGGTCCAGAGACTCTTCGGCGGGTTTTCCGGCATCCTGCCCTGTACTTTCAACCTCCGTGAGTCCAAAAACCGAAATCTCCGATTGAGGCCCAGTAGTTGAGCTTGGAAACAGAAATTGTTGTATCTCGCAGTTGTTGCGGGAGGTTCTACTATATGCTTAATATTAATGAGACCACGGTCCAAAGCTGCAGGTTAAAACTTGTTTTGCACATGCTGGACAGCTACGAAAAGTTGGGGTAAGCCGTCAGGTGTTTGACGATACCTGGATAGGTTACCTACGCACGCTGTTGGTTGCAATTACGTTGGGCAAGCTGGGATGGCGGATATGCCCGGATAGGAGCAAGCAAAACTGAGGCTGAAGTCTCATTGAGAAGCTGGCACGTGCAAAAGTCAGGGCTCGCAGTTTGGAAGGTCTTCGCGGGCACAACTCTGCTGTGCCGTTGCACTTGCTTGGGTTCTTCGGTGTTATGCTTTTTAGAGTTATGGTCCGATCCAGGGTTATCGTCTGCTAGTAGCTTAGCGGCGAGGTCGACAATGCCAGCGACACTTTCAACGGTGCATGCATCTGGTCTGCATCAAAGTGGCATTTGTTGGAAGAGAGCATGCAGAGGTCTGAATTAGAAGTAAGCATGGTAACTTGTAACCATGGTAACTTTTCAGGTTCTGGGTTTGTTGTTCGTGATTTAAAGAGTACCTAGCTCGGTGTGGCGAAGAGCGTCTTCGAAACTTGTGGAGTTCTTGCCAGTTCTTGCGGCTAGAGAGCTTTGGGGTTTGCGGTCGTTTATTTTTATGGGTCCGTACATACTCATAATGTATAGGTATGTGTGCTGGCAACTGGGCTGCTGGACATGTAAAAGTGTATGCAGTGTGTTGTCGTTGAAGTAGGGCCTCCGACCTGTCGCACATTTCTTAGCAAATACTAAAAATCTTCCAAAGCTTCAAAGTTCATAACAAGTATAGGTTTTGTATGTATGTATGCATGTATGTATGTATAATAGTGTTGTACACTGGCCCCGCGCACATATTGGATTATATACCCCCAAAACACTGTGTGGAAACGCTGCCCGCCGCAGGCAAAGAACTGTCAAACACAAAACGCCCAATGCGCTAAGCCTTGCCCGTGAAGCCAGAGGTGAGAGCCTCCCGGTCGGCCAAGTAGCGCCAGCCTCGGAATGGGTGCGACTATGTATATAACTACTACACTCTGTTAAACACGTATGTATTTATCGGATTGTGCATTATTATTGTTTGCTATATATTATACTATATATTGCACATTTTATGTATGCTGCCATTGGATGTCCAGTAAGTGCTAAGCAAGTTCAGACGTGACACGCTGAATTTGCTATAAGTCAATGGAAGACCACTGAAGACCTGAAGGAATTCCAGGCACCAATGAATTTACCTTCATGTCAGGTACAGACTACTTGTACATGGTACAGCGACAGCGCCGGTTAAGAAACAGTTAATTTTTCGTGAGGGCGAGGGGGGGGCTCGATTTCTCAATTTTGAAGCGCACCTTTTGCTAGGTAAAAAAAACAGTTTCGGGATTTGTGGGTACCCTGGATTTCTTAACCCAAAGTTCTTGATTCGAAACGGCGGCAAAGAAAAACACATTCAAGAAATGAGAGCATAGAAAGATTTGAGCCCACAACCCTTTCGATTTCAGCTCATGCTCTTATCCACTCGGGCATGGCATCCTTGAGACTTCTTGAAAGCCACCAAATCCATCCATTTCTTGTGCAGCGTGTATTCAGCGCTTACCAGAACCCCCCAAAAATAAGAAATCGAGCCCTTCAATTTCTCATTTTGTTGGGTTTTTCTTCTATGGCAGTAAGCCCTTCCAAAGTTTGTAGAGCCGTCCAAAGCTGTTATTAAGGCCTTATAAAGCCCTTGTTAGGCAAGCCCAGAACCCACCAAAGCCCTTGAGGCTTTGTAAGGGCTTTAATAAGGCTTTGCCATATCGGAAAAATCAGCAAAATGAGGCATTGAGGGGCTCGATTTCTAAAAAGATGATGTTGCAGGGCTCGATTTCTTGCTTTATGGGGTTGCGGGCTTCCTCATAAGGGTTAGTAAGGCATCAAAAAAACAGCTTTGGACGGCTCTAGAGGCTTTGTAAGGGCTTAAATCAGGCTTTGCCCATACAGGAAAACCC